GGGGGGGGGGGGGGGGGGAGAGAAAAAATGAGAAACTCTGGCAGGGGAAGCAACAAGTGGAAACTGAAACATTTTATACTTGAAAATACTTGAACTCTTACAGATTGACTACATTTTAAAATCTGATGATCTTAAAATGGTACCATTTCTCTTGGGCTTCAACTGAAATAACAAGTTTGCTTTAACTGCTCATCAGGTGTGTACAAGTTACATTTTTTGTACAATGAGGCCCCCCCAAAGTGCTCTACATTTGTAACATTACAAATGTCCACAGCAACAGAACACTTTTAAAATGGTCAATCGCACAAAATTTTAACCCTCATCTGATGAGCTATCAGATGAAGGCGCTCTAGGGCACAGCACCTTAGCAAACTTGTGTACAGGTTCACAGCTAGCATTACTTTTGGGCAATTCTGCCTTCATCCCACAATCAGGCAGGCAGACCTGGTCTCTTCTGCCTGTCCCAGCACTGGGCTGCCATCTGGCAGTCAGTGATAGCCTTTCATCCCAGTCCCTCCTCCTCCCTCTGGCCAGCTACGAGAGACAGCCTGGCCTGGGGGAGGTAAGGGAGGATGGTGTCTCTCAGCAGTGTTCCCCAGATCTCCTTCCCTCTGCCAGGGCAGGCTATGGCTCTCAGCCGGCCAGAGGGAGGAGGTAGGGTTGGGATGAGAGGCTGTGGGGGTACACACAGTGCTCACACCAGCCCCAGGCTTGGCTGGGCAATTATTTTGGTAAGCTGACAAGGGCCATGCACAAAATCTTTCAGAAGATATAATTTTAACAAATTACAGATTAAAAAACAAATTGTATACTAAAATAAAATTAAAAAAAAAAAAGACATCTACTTCAACATTTGATTTCAAAAAATATTTTTTGTCCTGATTTATGGTTTTCTTAGTGGTATATATTGAGATGATTGCATAATAGCTCAAAATAGAGACTTACTCTTGTATATTGTGTGGGAGGGGTATGCACATGTCGGGGGGTAGGGGCTTCCCACATACTAGGTCCAAGGAGCCAGCTGGGGTAGGGGTGGGGAGGAGAAGAGAGACAGATACTTGCAGGAGAGCTTGCCCAGGCAATACATTCTGCCCCACCCGAGCTGCAGCTGCCCACAGCACTTCACATGGGAGTGAGCCCTGCCCACTCCTGCCCAGGGCAGCCTGTGCCTTGCTCCAACCCCATATCCACTGACAGCACATACAGCTTCCCAGTGGCTGACTAGGTACTACTTGGCTCCTCCCACCTCCAGCAGCTCCTCTTCCTCCTGCACCTGCTGTGCCACTCCTGCTGCTTCCACCTACTCAGTCACCTGCAGGTAGCTGCTCATCATGCTGTGCAGGCAGAAGGCAGCCAGGAGCTGGCTCCATGCACTGGGGCAGGAGGGGCATTTATACACATGCAAGCCTTGCAGCACCAGACGCTTTTTAAAGTGCCCAGCACTGCAGCACATGCACTTGTATAAACAGCAAAATGCACATCAGTCCTGAGAAAATGGCAGCAGCGCGCTTCTGAAGTAACACAAAGGTGTTTTAATTCAAAAGTACACTGCTGCCATTTTCTGTGCGCTGATGCTCATTTCACCATTTATACAAAACACATGCCACTCAGCGCCAGGCGCATCAGTTCACATGCTTCGCAGACTCAATTAAATCAAGTATACTCTGATGTGCTGGACTTCCAGTGAAGCAGACAAGGGTAGGTGTATAAAATGGCCAAGCTACCTAGCTCCAGCTTCCACCTGTCACCTCCACCTTCCCAGACTACCTGCTGCCCAGAGTGGCACAGCAGGGCAGGAGAAGCTGAGTAATACTCAGACAGCTGCTGCAGCAGCAGCAGGCAGCCACACCAGGAAGCTGCACATGCTGGCTGGCGCCAGCATGGTGCTCTCAGCAGGTACAAGATGTGTGCAGGCAGGGCAGCCATAGCCTGGATACAATCAAATGGCAAGCTGGATCCAGCCTAAGAGCTGTATTTTGCCCATCCCCGGGCTAGCCCCTTTAGCTGCTCACAGCAGTCTCCAGCAGCCCCCAGAGCCTGCAGAGCATGCTGAGTGGCATGCAACCAGAGATGTGGGTTTTCTGGAAAATTTGGAATTTGAAAAATGTTCCAATGCCCTAAATAGTGTGTGATCTGATTTAGCATGTTTATTTGATTTTTATTTGGAAAACAAAACTAAAAAAGTACTCCCATGTTAATTTTATGTCCCAATAGCCAAAAGTATTTGAACTGAAATATTTGATTAGGAAAAATATTAAATACAGGACACAATGTGGTTTAAATGTTACATTAAAACAAATTCAAAGCTTTACATGGAAATAAATTATTTTTATTGGAAAACCTGTAAAAAATAAAGACAATACACAATAGCATGCACTTCCCTTGCATTGTTTAAAATTTAAGAAAAACCATGAAGGCACTGAAAACTGTTGGCGCACTAACTTTAGCGAACACAAAGAACCGTTCATGATATGCTGTGGTTATCCATTACTCTACTTCAATAAAGTTTAACTCTCTTCCACAGGTCATAGTGGCACCTCCAGTTTCACTGTCACTATCTGTAGAATCACTTGCACTGCCTGTTAGTTCCATTTCAGAATCAGATTGAGGCAAATCTGATTCAGAACTACTTTAACCACATTCTCTTTCACCAGAGGATGGGCAAGGGCAACTTATCACACTGCATCTTCTTCATTAATTGTGCTTCTGAGTCTCCAGAAGCAAGAGATTTTGAGAAACAGAAACAAGCTTAGCAGTGCGTTCATTTGTTAGTCTATTCCTCCTTTTTGTCTGGATTGAGCTGAAAGCCTTCCAGTTCCATTTACAAGAAGCTGCTGTTGGTGGAATGCTTAGGATCCTTAGATCAATCCTGGGCAAGCCATGTGGTACAGTATCCTTTCTACCGTATAAGAGGAGGCATTCTCTGCTGCCCGCCAAATTTGCCTAATATTGTATTGGCATCCATTTACTGTTATTAATGAATTTTATGAAACAATGAATTTTTAGAAATGGAAAATTTTCCATGGAAAAATAAAGCACTGGAAAATTTTCTGCCCCATGTCTACATGCAGCAGTACTCCCTGCCTCCCAGCCAGGGCAGGGAGGCTCCAAGCGCCCCCTCCCCTTAACTCCCCACCATATGCTGAACAGTCATTGTGTTCTATCCTGCTGTAACTTTTAGCACTTTGTGTAAAATTTAAGTTACAATGCAATCGCAACAGCCTTCCTGCACTTCTCTATGTGGGTACAGGTAGTCTTTCAACTAATTTCACATTGGCAGCAAATTTACCACAAAGATGTTTCTGGAAAGGTTTTCTTCTTCAAACAGTTTGCCACTTAAAATGAGAAGATCACATAACACCCCCTCTCCTCCAAAAAACAACCACCCCACAATCCACATTAACAGAGCATAACGATCAAAAAGCCAAGCAGTTAAGAGTTAAGAAATCCTAAAAGTAAGGTTGCCTTTATAAACTTAAAGTAACTCCACAGTAAACATGCACCGAGAAGCTTTA